GGGCCCGCAGCCCGTGCCGCAGCCCCCGCCGCGCCGCCGCTCGCCGTTAGAGGGCGCTCCGCCGCCGCCGGTGGCTCCCGCGCCCGGCCGGGCCCGGCCCGCAGCGCCCGTGCGGCTGCGCCCGGCCGGGCTGCAGGCTCAGCCAATTGCTCTGCTACGACTTGTTAGGTGCGTTAAATATTGTTAATTTGCCTCTACTGCTGTGTTTAATTTCCGTTTGGGAACCTGAAAGAGGTGCTTCAGTATTGTGATTCCCCCTCGTCTCTGTTTTAATACAGAACAAACGAATCTTTATAGCTGACTAGTAGAATCTGCAGAGCACATCCGTGAATGACAATCTTTCTGTAGTATAATCTGCAGAGGTCTGCTGAATTTCTTTTGCATTGACTTTTGATTCAAGAAGGAGAACGTATTTTTCAATCCTTTTTTAATTTCAGTAATTTTCTTGCATTGTTTGGAATTGTTTAAGCCTTGTAACTTTTTATGTGCATGTTGATGATGTGTGCCTCAAAATGTTTTTACTCCAGCTATTGTCAGATGTCCAACTGCATAAAGATGTGAGGTTCTAAATCAGACGGCAGTATTAGAAGTGGTGCAGAAAAACAAGAAGAGATTTTCTGCATGGTAAAATCTCAAAGAGACTGAATCTTCTTTTCTTGTTCTCTTTGCCTACTGCTGCTCTGATAGTATGCCATTCTTCATAAAAAAAAAAAAAAGCCACGGGATGTAATAATTACTGCCATGTATATCTGCTCTTTTTTCCCTTTCATAGCGAGATGAAAGCAGAAAGGCTACTTTTACTGTTTGATGGCAAGTGGATTGAACGATCAATTTAAGGACAATAGGAAACATTTTTATGTGGCAGCATGACATCCCTTGACATCTAGCAAAATTAAGTGCATTCTGGACTAGCTAGGGATGTATCCTGCATTATACTTTGAAGGCAGCCATCTCCACTTTTTGTTACTTTGATGTTTTGCAGTCAGCTAAGGAAAGTCTGCAGAACTAGACTTGTAATGCTTTGGGAATGCAAACATAGATCTCAGGTAAAACTGGTTTTGCTTATGGTCTTATGAGCAGCAAGGCAACAAGTTACCCAAACAAGTAAATCCAAGGTATCCTCCAAATGCCAAAGTTTCCAAGAGACTGGCAGGGGGGCAGTTAGCAATTCAAACTGATCACCATCAACAACCAAGTAGGACTGCTGCTGCTCTTTTCTGATGACTCACATAATAGCATTGTTTGGTTCCATTATTTAGAGAGAACAAACATTGCCTCAGTGAAAGGAAAAAGGAAACAGAAGCAAACTGATAATGATTGTACTTTCTAAAGAAAAAAAAAAGTCAAGATGTCTTTCAAGGATGACTCCTCTTTGGGTACATTGGTTGAGATGCAATCAGTTAGTGCATCTGAAGTGCACTCAAGAGAAATTCAATATAAGTTCATATCAGACCTCAGTTTTTTTCCAAATTTGTAAGCATTTACTCAGAGTTTAGATACATCATGTCACACCTGAGTCAGACATAAATTAGGCTTCAAGTCAAAGAAATACAACGAAAATATTTACAAATTCTATCACAAATTCACATCACTGTAAGTATGTATATGGTTTTCTTGAAATCAGTTTATCAAGGGGAGAAATATATATATGGAAATACAAAGAGAAGTTCATTTCATTAACATGAAGATACTTTACTGGGGTGCATATTAATATTGATTTTATTACGACTTGTTATATATATGGTTGCTGCACAGGATATATCTACAATATATAGCTTGTCAGGGACTTACAGTTGTGAAAATTGTTGCAAAACATCTGCTTTGCTTTACTGGAAAAGTCTGTTCACATTTCAGGGAAAAGTCCCATAAGAAATGGTGAAAAATAATGAAAAAGTGTATTTTTTTGTGTTTTCCATTCTGCCTTAAAAAAGAGAATAGTAAAACTAAAGAGAATAGTAAAACATATCCAGAAAGTTACAATAGAAAGGATTTTGTCATAAAATGGAAAGTCTTGAGTCTTGTGTTTCAGGATCAAGAATAATAAAATCAAATACCCTGAACCAGTGAATGGTCTGGGGCAGTACAAGAATCCATGTGAATGGGGCAATTGTGCAGTTGATGATTTCAGAGAAAAGAGGGCAGTTAGGGCAAAATGGATTGCCTCTCTCAGATACATGAGAACAAATAGAAAGCATTTTATCAGTGTGCTGGGGAAAGACAACTATTGGTAGGAATTCCACCTGTTAATAAACCAGGAGGGAGATTACAGTAAAAAGGACTTAGCATGGTTGAAACACTGAACTTCCTTTGTTTTCATCTGAAAAAAATATACAAAGTGGATGGAAAAAAAATCTAGACATATAAAGGTCACCTGGATTATGCACGTCCTTAGGTGTTAAAGATACTGTTTCCTGAATAATTTTCTTCCACTTATGTCTATTTGAAAACAGTGGGCAACTGTGGAAGTGCTGAAAGATGGACGGAAAGGAAATATCACATTTCTTTTCTAAAACAAGAAGCAGACCAGTTCCAGAATTTTACCCAGATCGACAAGACCCAGCTCTCCTCAAAAGTCAGAGCCCACAGGAACACCACCCCCCCCCCCACCTTTATTCAGTTATATCCCTCAGCTCAAGGATGCACCTCAGCTCCTCAAGCCCAAATTTATCTTAAATTATATATAAATTTAGGTGTAAATGTTTACTTGGATCTGCACCACTGAGAAGCAAATTTCTGAATATTTCTGGATATTCAGACTGTTGGCAATGGAAAATGAGCATGCAGATACACAGGAGATGCTGGAGAAAGAGATGAATAGGATATAAATACTATTTTCCTTGATATTAAACATCCAGGATTAGCACAGCAAAATGCAGATGATCCAAAAACTCATAGAGTGAAAATATATTGGTGCAACGCATAACAGTTTCATGAGTAAAGCCAAAAATCTGCAGCAGTATTAAAAAAATACAAAAATAACCCTATTCCTCAGGCAGGAGGCTATTGATTTTGTCTTTTGTATGCTGAATAAACTGGGGAGGTACAAAAGAAATAATGAGATTCATTTGCTATTTTTAATATGCAGCAATCAATTTTAGTCCCTAAAGTGCCCCAGTGGTGTAGATGTGATTGTGGAATAAAGAGATGCATGGAAATTCAAAATGATGAATAGCTCAACAAAAACTTGCAATCTACTGGCATTATGAAGAATATCAGGATATTATTAATTGTGGTTTTTTTTCATTTTGAGAGAGAGCTCTTCTCTTTTGGGAATGTAAATATACTCACTGCAGCTTTATTAAAGGGTTTTCATAAACTAAGTTTCATTAAAGGGAAGATCTGCAGCATTTCATCATGCCTCTAATGTCTGATTTGGACAGATCAGCTCCTTGATCTAAGCTTCTGATACTTGTGTAGCCCTGATTCAGGGAAGCATTTATATTCAGGAGCAGCCCTTACTATCAAACACAGACACAAGTGATTTTCTAAATGGGAAAGGCCTCAAAGATGTATTTAAATTCTTGCTTGGCTCAGGAGTTGCTTGCTGTCTTTTATGATGCTGTGAAATAGAAACAAATGTGACGATTACTGAAGTATGAGCTGTGAACAGCAGCAGCTCCAGCTGGAGAGCCCTCCTCTGTGACTCCAAGCTTCTGACTGCCCTTGCATAGCCTGATCCTAAAGTAACTGGGACCATGATTTTATTAGGTTCATTTCTTTTTCTTCCTTCAGGATCTAGCTGTACAAAAAAAAAAAAACAAACAACAAGATCAAACCAAAACCAAACAAAAAACTCACGACCAAAACCAAGGCTACATATATACAAATTTTGAGTTCTTGGGTAGAAAGGAGTATCTGCATGTCTGGCCTGGGAGAAATGATGTCTTATGGGAATAACACTGTTTTGTGTGAGGAGGCTTTTATTTGTTTGTGCTTTACTCACATGGAATGTTTGCTGAGCAATATTTTCCTGCCTGGACATTGAATACTCCCTTCCTTCACTGCAGATCAGGGTGAGACAAACAGGGCCCTTTCTGGTGGATTAGGCTGGAGTCTGCCAAGGAGCACCCCCAAAGCAAGGAGGTTTGAATAGTTTTAGGACATAGGGCAGTAACAGGGACATCCATGTGCTGTGCACGGAGCTGCCCCACTGCTGAAGGCCCACAGGGGAGTGGTGCAGGGAAGGGAAGCACTTCAGCTTCTGCCTCTCCATTTTCCCTTATCTTGTCATCTTCTTCTCTCCTCAGAGTGTTTCTCCCTCAGCCCCCACAGCGCCACAGGAAACCTCACCCACTCTACTTATTTTTGCCTATTGGCATGTGGGCAGGTATACCTGCCCTGTGTGCTTTAGCTCAGCACTGCATCATGGAGCAAGCACTTTTGTTCAGAGCTCTTTTTAAAGCTATTAAAATAAAAAAAAAAAATAAAAGAAAGAAAAAGAAAAGAAAGAAAAAAAGAGAAACACGTACCCTGAAGCCTGAATAGCAGCATTTCTATCATCTGTTGTCATGACACACAGCTGACGTGGGAACACGGCAATAAGGCTGACTGCTATATGGGTTTAATTTTGGTGCAGAAATTTGCTAGAAGAAGCTTTCAAAAATATCTCTGGGTGGGAGGAAAACAGGTGGGTGCTGGTTATGTGTATGAAGCAGGAGGAAATAGTTGTCAATCTTACCTAAGCATTACTCTGCATCCATCAGCCCTTTGGTACCCTCACTACTCAACAGGGGAAATAAATGATAAATGATAAATTACAGGGGAAATTAACTGTCTCTCTCTGCTCCTCTCTCCTGTTACTTCTGGAGAAGGTGCTGGTGTGCCATAGAGTGCAGGGAAAATGAACATGGAATGACTAAATAGAACCATGGTGGTTATGGGAAAGATATCTATGCAGGAAGGGGATCACATATCAACCACTGAAGGCAAGCAACAGAGAGATTCACTCGGGACACACTTTTGGGCCAGTATAATCTAAAATGACAACTGACATTGGAGATGGATGGTGAGTAGTGTATAGCCTGTAGGGGCTCCTAGGCTAAACCTGTTTTCTCTGGTTGTCCATGTAGGTGAGTGAGGAGTCAGTTCAGCCTGTTGTTCAAGAGGTACATTCAGCACTGTGTTCCTATGCCACATACACACTTTCGTTTCAGGAGTGTTTCTTCTGTCCATGTCAGTGTACCTAGGTAAATCAGACCTAGTCTGGGTTTTAGACACTTCTGAACTATCACAGCTTCTGCTGGATATGAAAGTGTAGGTGTTCAGAACTATTCTCTAAAAATCACTCTTCTAACCTGTTTCTAGCTAATTTTCTTTTACTGCAATTACCCTTTATTAGTACATTTCTCATCTGTTAGTCATCTTGACTAATGATTTTATTAATCTATACTAGTTTACTCACTCATTTCAATACTTTCCTAGATCACAGGAACATTTTGTGATTTAATTAAATAATCAATTAGAAGCTCAGAAGTCTTTGAATGAAAAGCATTATGTTTTAAAAGAGCAAAATACCATGATTGGATGACTGAAAAACATAACTCGATGTAGGTACTTTTCTTCTCCACATTTTGTGTTTAGACATCCATTTTAACTATGGTGGCAAAAGTGGAACCCTCAGCAATGGGAAGTTTGAAAGAGGACATCCACACTGTCAAAAGTTGGTGGTCTTCACTGAGATTGAAGCAGAGGAAGAAAAGAAAGAGAGAAGGTGCACTGGAGTGGAAGGACATTTAAGCCTGTATGAGCAGAGTAATTCAGAGTACCTCTTGCAGAGAAAGGCTTGCACCTATTGTAGTCATAAAGCCAAGGAAACCATAGCATTTTATTTTATCCTCTTTTCATTGTATTTCAGCACAGTTTGAAAACCTGCCTTTTCCCATACCAGTGCCTCTGTTGACCCATGTGGGAATCCAGAACATTCCTCTGGCTGCCCTGGCTGTCTCAAGACCCTGGCAGGGTGCTTGGAGACCTTGGCACGAAGTCAGAAACAGCTGTGGCTTTGATTTTAGCCATGGAAAAAACTGCCAACTTTGTATAAGGAATTTCAAGCCACAAGAGTATGTGTAGTGTGATAGTTGACTTAACACAGGGGAAAAAGTAGAATTTTGGGGTGTTTTAGAATGGGGTTCAAGGGGACAAGATGGAGGGATTTGTGCATGTCCTGACCCTCTTCTCCTTCTTCCTGTCCTCCATGTCTTGGTGTGATGGTGACACTTTTCTGTCGGTTTAAGGTAGAGACACACTGTCTTAACATTAATGATAGATAGTGGCACAATATTGTAAATGTAGTACACATAGTTTTTAGTATGAAATGTAAACATCACCCAAGAGGGCAGACAGAATGTCATGGCCTCCTTGCTAGATGGAGCTCAGCAGGTCAGAGAAAGAATGTTATAGAAAAGGAAAAATAAACAACCTTGAGAAGCTGATCCTATGTATTCCAGACTCCTTCTTTGGCTACACGGGCTGGGAAACAAGGACTTTTACATTCTCAGGGTCAAACTTGACACAGACCCTGAGAGACCCAATGTATGAAATTCTCTCTTCTGCAGTTCAAAAGGAGAAGCTTTGTTGAGTTGAAAATTTGATAGAAACTTATCCTTTGCATCTTTACTTAGCTTTTTGGGCTTGATTCTATCCCTTTGTACTCTGATTCTCCTGCAGCTTTTAGAGTTTCCAGCCTCTACACCAAATATCTCATAATGTGCACAATAAAATTGAATGGTTTTCACTTAGAATTCTAAAAATGGTTTGCCATTTCCAGAAAGTGACAGTATCAATATTATTGTCAGTCTCTTATGCAAATTGCCACCCTGTTGCTACTCACCAAAGTATCTCATCTATTTGTAAAACTAGGCTCTACATTAATCCACTCAGATTCTCTGGAACTCCTGACCTTTCTTCTGGAGATGCCCATACCACTGGCTGTCAGGTTGCTGCTGGCTAGAGTAGATCTTAATAATTTAAATGGTATGAACAGTCATCAGCTGGGAAACTATTCTTGATGCTGTCCCTTTGCTCATGAAGAGAAACAAAGAGAATCTAGGTGGCTTGTCTGAATTCTTACATTGTCCCTTTCCCTTTCCCTTTCCCTTTCCCTTTCCCTTTCCCTTTCCCTTTCCCTTTCCCTTTCTCTTTCCCCTTTCCCCTTTCCCCTTTCCCTAAATTCTAGAGGCCTGGAAAAAAATAAATCAATGCTGAGTTTGCCTTTGGGGAAACAACCATCTGGGAAAAATATAAGCTCTTGCTGTAAAATGGATCTAGCTTCCCATGCTAAACAAAGACATTGATTTTTCACTTCTTTTTAGTTATTGCATTTCACATCATTTTTTCAAGCCACCTTGAAAAGACAGCCTGGAATAGCATTCTTCCTATATGAACAACTCTGGTTTTTGTAGAAATGTTGTTTTCCTTTACATGAGTAGCAGCCATGTGCTCTCAGTCAGAATACCCTAAGTGAGAGAGGACTCAATTACATTTTTAAGTAACACATTTTCTTTGTAGACTCTCCACTGCCTGCTCAAGTCTGAAGACAAAATAACTGCTTCTTTGAAGACAGCAGATGTCTCAGAGATGCAAATGCTGACCAACCCTTAATCAAAGCCCCAGCATAGCTGAATATCCCACTGTATAGGGACAATATTGTCTGTCTTTGTGTTTGTTTGCTTTTTGTGTAGGGGGCTACAAATGCTAGTGATGTTTAAACACCTCTTTAGAGTCATTACAAGATACTGTGCAAATACAGTTATTTTTCCCTGGTAAGCAGGCACGAGATGCATATTTGCTTATCAGAATGAAACAGTTCCTGGGGAGGCCCTGATGTCTGTCAGGTGAATAATCTAATCTCCAGATTTAGTGTATTAAACAGGGTAAATAAGTCACTTTTTGTAGATGTCTAAATATATATTTCCCTCAGAGCTTTTTGAATCTCTAGGGTAAAGAAGTCATTCTTATATAAACGCTGAGGTTTTGTTTAGAAGGTAAATACCTGAAAAAAAAAAAAGTGATATAACCATGTAGTGCATACACTAAACAGACTTATTTTCAGCATTCATCCCTGTAAAAGGGCTTATTGCCAAGCTGCATCAGCCACTTAGGATTTAATAACCTGTCACAAAATATTTCCCCCTCCTACTTAGGAGAAAAGGAAAAGCAAAACAGATACAAATTTTACAGTCAAGAAAATTGCCATACCTCTTAAGAATGTTTAACTTATAATATAAACTGACAAAAGTAATGAAATTAAAATGCAAAACCAACCATCTGTCCTTAATTCACCTCTTTATGCTTTTCCTTATTATCATGCAGAAGAGCTGTGCCATTTCTGCTGTGAATCTTTGCGACACTAAGCTTCCTTGCTGCATTTTCAAGATGACTTATTCTGGCTGTTAGCTACCTCCAGAACTGTTACAGTAAGTCATCTAGTCCATATCTGCTGTAGTGCAATTAATCCCTATTGCACATTTGCAAGGGCTTATCCCACCTAATCTAAATGTCCTATATGACCTGGCTTTCTCTTTATCTTTGCTTTACTACTGCATTATTTTTCAGCCTCAGAATATTTTTAAAAATATATTTAATCAGGATCTTTTCCCTGACTTCATTAATTTTGTACTAAAACAAGTGCTTGGTATTTCCCTGCAGCTGCACAATGTTCTTCATTGTATTTTCCTTCCCAAAAGCTGACGTCTGAAAGTATTGTCCTTGAAGGACTGCCCAGCCTTTGACCTCACATTTGGGAGGGATCCTTTACCCCCACTTTCCCATTGCATTGCTGTGTTTTGCCACCTGTTTGAGAATACCATGTCTTCAGTTTGTCAGCCTGGTTGGGTTCCTTCACTTCACAGCATCAAAAGGTTTTGTGTTAAAATCCAGCCAAGGTTTATTCTGAAAGTGGTTGAAGGTCAGTCACTGTCCATCTCTTCCTGTTTTTATTTACAGCTAGAAGATCCTGGCTGGATTTGAAAGCCCTTTGGATGACTTGACCTGAAAGCATGTGCCTTAGGTGAGTGTGTTTGCTCTGGAAAAAACATTCATATATATATATAGGAATGTTATGGATATATAATATTTTACCTTTGCAATCTCTCTCTGGGAAAGGGCATTCTAAAGACCTAAACCAACCTTCTCCACTGTGCCTCCTCAGCCCCAGCAGCATTGACCCTGCCTGACCTTGGTTCTTCCCATGAAGCACACCAGACAGAACTTGGTTGTGATTAATGCTGGCAGGATCTCCACAACAGGCTGGTGCCACGGTTTACAGGCTCTGAGTGAGGCACAGATGCTCAGCAAAGATCAAGCATGGCAGATTCACATGTGGCCTTGTCAGAGCAAGACTATAAGATCCTGCCTTGCCCATTTTGGTGTGCTACCACTTGTCCAGGCCACTTGTTTTTCAGTAAGCAAGGGATTTGTCAGCCGGCTCTTGGTGTTCTCAGTGATTTTTCCAGCCTGCATTTAATTTTCCCCAAGGTTGGGCAGGAAAATAGAAGGAAGAAGCAGAGAAAGTCTTTTCAGAACTTTTATTTTCACTGATGTATGATATGTAAATGATAAATAATGCTAGTGGGAATATAGTTATTAAAAGTAAGTAGTAATATGACTTAATACAGCCAGTCATCAAGGAAGAGGTGATAGGGCATCACTAGTAGAGTCCACTCTACTACTGCTATTAAGCTGAGAATAAAATGCAATATTTAGTAACAGCATTTAACATTTCCTTTATTTTCTTTCCTTAACCTTTAACTGAGCCAGAAAGGAACTATCTATTAGCCTTGCTAAGTGTATTGTTTGTGGCAATTGTGAAAAATTTTGTTGGCATTCAGAGGACAGAACAAGGCACAAGCTGGTTTTGAAGACTGTGATGGAGCAGAGTTGAGCTGAAGTTCCTAATATTGCCTTATTCTGAAAACAAGTTTCTGAAGCTCAAATTTTCCATTGTTTATATTTATAGGGAATTTTGCTCAATTTCATTGATGGTATAAATATTTAAATGCTAATCAGAAATGTTTATATTGTTATTAACTGTATAATGAGGAAAGGAAAATGAAAGAACTGGCCTGTCTGCCCTTACTTAGACAATTGAGTATGGGTTTTTTTCTGTTTATTCTTGTAATTTTTAGTGCCAAACAGACAAGAGTCATAAATATTTTCTTCATCATTTACCCTTTCAAAATAAAAGTAGCTTCCCCATTCTTCAGGTGGCTGAACCAGAGACAAAGTCATTGCATATTTGCCTAGCATTCAGACAATGGAAACAGAAGCCATGCTGCTTTCTCTGACACTGATGTGGAGGAGAAAAAAAATTAATTTCAGAAAACCAGTGCCAGAGAGCATGACAGAATGGAATATCACAGTTTTAAAAAATTAAAATAGGCCTTAATTCTGTTGCTTTTAGTTATCTTTGTAATATAATGTGGTTTGCCTGATCCAATTTAAATCTACACCTTAAATTAGCTCAGCTTACCTTTCCTCAGCATCCCCATATAGCCAGGACCTAATTTTGTTTTCTAAGTCTTGAAGCTGTATTCTTGATGTAGGAAGGACCTAATCTTGTCTTCTAATTCTTGAAGCCAAGTTCTACCATCTCTTCTCAGTGCAGCTGGGAGATTTCTTATTTCTGCACTTCGCAGATTGCTCCCTGCCCTGCCATCACATAGTTAATATAACCAGCTCTTTAAAAGGTTAATGATATTAACAGTGTTTGTTGATACAGAGTTACTTAAAAAAACCTGATGATTAAAAAGAAGGTGTGAAAGAACAGACTGAGATAATAGTTCACAGAGTAAAAATGATGAAATTATGGACTTATTACAGCCTGCAAAATCAAAATCCCAATATGACCAGCTGTGGGACTTGTGACAGTTTTATTAAGGGAAGGGACTGAAGAGAGGGTGTGAACAGGAGCTTTTAAAAACAATTTTCCTAGCACAAGGATGTGGAGGACTTGGGTTTGCACTTGGTGGCAGTGCTCTCCTGCCCTGTCAGCAGCCCTGCTGCTCGTGCTGTGCTGCTTCCTGCAGAAGACACGGAGCAAGAGTGATGTCTCTGCACAAGCCAGGGCTCATAACCTGCCTAGTATTGTTTTCTTAATTAATTCTAAATACTATTCCTTTACTCTGATAGAGCTCTCGTGCTTTAGAACTTTTATTGCTGTCTAAAGAACTCCCTAAAGAGAAAGAGAGGAAAGAAATTTTTGGAAATGGGTGAAAATACTTGTAAATGTTGTATGAAGAGTTATCTCTGTTATCAAGAATCCCTTAAGAATAAGGATAGATGGCAGAAGGAAGACAGTTGTTAGCTCTAGGGCCATACTAGGTATTTAACTTTTACCTGGGAAAGCACCTTCATGGATTGGCCCTATTTTTTGCTCTCCTTCCTTCCCTTTCTTTCTCATTCCTTTTTCTTTCTTTCCCTTCCTTTCTTCTTCCTTCTTCCCAGGCAGGCTGTAAAGGAAATGCTGTACTTTCCCGACTCATAGCTGGGATGTGTTGAAAGTATGGAAACAGACTAGCCTACAGCAAACACCCATTGCCAACACATTTATTTACTGTCCTTCATCTCACCAAGAGGACAGCAGAATTGGTGCTCAAAGTCAGGTTAATTGCAAGGTTAGCTGTCAGTGACAGCAAAAGAAACCACAGATTGCTCTCAAATGAAGCTCTGGTCCTCCTGGGATTCACAAAATAATGAGGATTGTACTAGACCTGAGCTATTGCCTCTCCGTCAACAAGACATCCATAGCACCACAGGTGTTGAGTGGGAAATAAAATGTCCTTCAAATGTCCTGTGCCTGTGTAATGGGAATTCATGTAGTGTCCTGACTGACTCTGCTGGTTACAGATGGGAGTCCTCTAGAACCTCTTTAGGGTGGGCTCACTGATGATCTTGCAGCCCATGATGACACAAGCCAACTGACCACTCTGATCAAATAACACAGAATTAAAGTGGTGTGGTCAAGTCTCACAATTTTATTATGAATTTCTCAGGATTAGATGTTCTCAGTGCTTCAGTCTTCATTCACCTGACATGCAGAGAAGATAATTTCTCTTCTTTTAAAGGGAATGTGTGTTTTTCCTCTTTGTGTGGAACAGATCGAAAATGTGAAAAGCAGTTTGTAGGAAGTAAACTCCTACCATTTGCCCAGGAAAATGCAAGACACTTTAGTGTCATGATTTTTGCAAGCCTTAGATGACCAGTAGTCAAGATTAGTGGCGTGGTCTCTGCTACAGCTTTACAGACCCATTTTGCATAACAAAGTGAAATATCTGAGACTCTGCAGCTGTTTCCTCAAGGTACATTTGTTAGTAACGCACTGTGGTGGAAAGAACTATGTAGTCAGAGAGTAATATCGCTGGAATCAAATAAAGAAAAGGTGAGCTAAATCTGACCATACAGGACAGAATAGGAAGCTTTTTAAAAATTACAGAGAATCTGCAAATATCCTTATCGAAGCAGCAGGAGAGGGAAATCAAATGGATTTTTAAATGAACTTGTCCCTGAGAAGAAGGTGAAGTTCACCAGACCAGACACAGTGACACAGGAGACCTCTTTATTTACTCAAATTCAGAGGTTGTATTCATTCATGTAAGTTCATAGACCATTGTAGGTGCAGAGGTTAAATACTCTATGCTCAAATGGGCCCAAAGCACAGGAATCATCTCTACCATGACACACAGTGAAAGGTGAGGCTAATGTGGTTTCTGTGGCTGCCTGGGGCAGGTTATCAGACAACAAATATTGTTCATGGATTTATCTATCAGCAGAGATGAGCCTCATTGCTTTTAAAATTCAGTGGAGCTCCTGATCAGCCCAATCTTGGTAACGAACAAAGGCTGTGAAATAATTTGTATCCTCTATTAGAGACAAACAAGCAAGAACACCACTTAAGGAACCAATATAAATAATGAATGAGTAGAGAAATATGGCCCTTTCTGACAGAAATGATGCTGGTTTTAATTTGTGTTTATGGCACCTAAAGTAATGGGCACATGAAATATGCATGGAGAGAAAGAACCAGGAAAAAAATCCCTGCAGAACCTGACCGCAATGCCCTGGACTCTGACCAAAACTTGCAATGGGAAAAATGTAATGAGGCAAAAAGAAAGCTCCACTAGGAAGAGAAAATAATAAACACAGGAAAAATACAGTGCATATATTTTTCTGGTGCCTGCTACATTACTAGGAAATCAAAACAATTTTTAGGAAATTAGCTCAAAGTGTAAGATTGCCTAGTGAGACAGTCTTTAACATTTGGTATAATGAAGTCAAACCTTTATGGATAGAAAGTGTTTCTGTGTTGCTTGAGTATAGAAAGTCTATTTAAAATATATGAATCTCTCTTTCAGGAATTATTGAGAATGGTTTTCCTCTAAATTTAAGAATAATATGCCATGACACAATGGAGAAGAGCAAATCCCTGTTCTCTCCAAAGACATGTTTTGTCATCCAAGGCTGGACCAATTAGAAATGATGGTAATGCTTCTATGATAACAGATTTAAGAAGAAAGAAAAAAAAAGTTATTGTGCAGATGTAATCCTGGCCAAAGAAGAGTGGGGTGAGAACATGTGAGAGAAACAACTTTGCAGATGCCAAGGTCAGTAGAGAAGGAGGGACAGGAGGTGCACTAGGTGCCAGAGCTGAGATTCCCCTGCAGCCCGTGGTGCTGCCCATGCTGAAGCAGATGCGCCCCTGCACCCATGGAGGTCCATGGGGACACAGAGATCCACCCACATACTGGAGCAGGTGGGTGCCTAGAGAAGGCTGTGAGCCTATGAAAGACCTGTGGAGAGAGGAGCCCTGCTCCCATGCTGGAGCAGTCTGTCCTTAGAGGACTGCACCATGTGGAAGAGTGACCCATACTGCAGCAGTTTTGGGAGGACCATTTTCTGGGGGATGGACTCACGTTGCAGCAGTTGACTGAGAGCTGTTGCTCTCAGTGTTGAGATAGACTCATGCTGGAGAAGTTAATGAAGAACTGTCTCCCATGGGAGGGACCCCTTGGTACCGCAGGGAATGACTCCACTCCCGGAGCAGCAGGAGAAGCCTTGGGTAATGAACTGGCCATAACCCCCATTCCCTGTCTCTCTGCACTGCTGGGGTAGAAGATACAGCTGTGAAGGAGGTGGGGAGGAGGAAGGTGTTTTTAAGAGCTTATTTTACTTCTCATTGTCCTGCTCTGATTTTGTCAGTAATAAATTCACTTTGTATCTCTATGTTGTGCCTGTTTTGCCCCTGATCACATTTGATGCATGATCTCGCCCAGGCCTACTCCAACCCATGAACTCTTAGTTATTTTTTTTATTTATCCCCAGTCCAGCTTTGGAGGGGTGTAAGAGAGTGGCTTTGGTAGGTACCTGGCATCTAGCCAGTGTCAACACACTACCATGTTATAGTTATCCTGGAGAGGATGTACTGAAAACTGTTAGTCCCATACAAAATGAAAGATAATAGTCCCTAGAAAGATGAAAGTTTACAAGAAAGAGAATAGAATCCCAGTCCATAACAAGAACAAAGTCAGAGACAAAACTTTCTAAGGCTTAGGACAGCAAAGGTATAGATGCTGATTGTTGAGTATCCATCTCTGACATGCTAGAAAAATGTCAGAGTGCAATTTCTGTCCAACATGACTTTGTCACTGTTAATTCTTCAGGATCATGGCATTAACAGGCATGTGGGCAGAAGATGAAGAAGGAAGTTGCATAAGGTCTTTTTCAGTTCCACTGGTTCAGTAAGCTAATGAAATGATCCTATTGTTTGAGAGTTCATGGAAGTATTTCAGTTGTGGTATTGCTCTAGCAATATTAATCAGAATTAATAATACTCAGTTAGAAGGGTAGTGTGATGTGCAAGGTCCAACTTCCAGAGTATATAGGGGTCTTTGTACAAATCCTTGGTAAGTTTTCTTCCTCCTTGGTTGAAAGATTTTATCCATGACAAAAATAATCAGTCAAGGGTGAGCAGAACTGTGCTGGAAGTGAAAGAGCACAGATGAGAGAAGGGTTCAAACCTGGGCTTCACTGGGAACTTCATACTGGCAGGTGAAAGTGGAACAGTTCCTTTATGTTTTGTGTGTCTAAAAATGCATTTGAGAATGCATCTATCCTTTATTTTTTTTCCCCTCAAAGAGGTACCTTAAGTAGTCACAAACTATTGTGTCTTTTTTTTCAGCTGAGAGTCCTCTGCAAGTCCCATCTGAATCCACTGAGAAGTCTGGCCACTCAAAACATGAATTTTCCAGAGAATTAACTGAAAAGAAAAAAAAAAGGAAGAATGCTCATGACTCTAATGACGGAATGACAGAATAATTTTTCTACAAGAAATTCACACAGATGACACAAGTATTTGCTGTTAATGTCTTTGGGTCAGATCATTGCATGATACAAATTGCAATATACCTTTATGTAACTCAGTCTTTCTCTTTCAATTGATTCTTCAGAGATTTTCTATGAAGTGTCTCCATCTGCACAAAAAACCTAATGAGGCTATGGTCATGCCAAAATGTACTAACAGGATACAGGCTGGGATCTTCAGTGGGTGGAAGTCAGTCTATCTCCATTATTTAAATGGTTTATATAGGCATGAACTGCATATGCATTTCAGCAAGGACTTCCAGCCAGGTAATTCTCATTCTTACCTGTTCCTTTCTCCAAAACAGCCCAAAAAACTCAATCTGTGGCATTCAGCAATTGCTAGATGACAAGTGCAAGACCAGAAACGCCTCAGCAAGCCTAAGATTCACTGGGTAGGTAAAGGAGGCTGTACAGAAGTGCCCTTTCCAGGATTTTGATGGGAAGCATGAAGAGGCCAAATTCTTCTTTGCTCGCATGCTGACTTTTCACTCTAGGTTTCCTACTCAAAGGTCTTCTGAGCACAAGGCAGCATAAATGAAAATATACCAAACTACTGGTAGAAATATATACACCCCTTAGCTGTTATTAAGAAAGGTCTGTACAATGAGCAGGGATCAGACCTCGCTATAGGAAATACATATTTCATGTGCAAGTATGCCAGTTAATATCTTTTGGTCTGAAAAGCAAAACAAATATGTTACATTCTATTGTCCAGAAAACCAAACACGGTCCCCCAGTAGGTAGGACCATAACTTTTGTTATGGTTGGAATCCTGAGCTTCAAGCAAACCATGGATATTGTTTCTCAGCAAGTCCCAGGTTTACAGTAAAAGAAACAAAGTGACGGAAAGAAAAAGCGCAACAGTCATGGCAAGATGGACATTGTTTTCAAAATATAAGTAGCTTTCTCTGTTTCAGGGCTTTTGCTTTATTTTCATCTGTGCTGTACTGCAAGATGGTAGACTCAAGATAAAAGGCAGCATTCAGTGCCATAAGAAGTCCTTTACCTTTGTTAGCAGCCAGTGATGAATTTGCAGAAATATTCCAGAGCCTTTCCAAACAGGACCAGGTTTGTGCTAGATCTACTTTGAAAATTATTGCAGTGCTACCTTGGTCCCTTTTATGTTCATTAAAAAAAAAGGTAATCTGGAATTCATACTGCTGGTCGTAGTTTGGGAAGTAAGACATGCTTAAGAAGCCCTCCTATTAGACCTCTAGGTTTTCAAGTTGAACAATGTCCTCAGTAGCAATAAATGCCCACTTTCCCACCCAACCCTGTGATGGACCATGGTTTACTGGAGATCTCTCTGTTTTGTGGTGCTGGAGCAATACTGCCATGGAAGAGAATAATTCTGGAGGGGCAAGACTTGTGAGCATCACAAAATGTCTTTACAATATCTGGAGTAGATTCCATTTTCTTGTGCAAGATGAACAGGCAGCATAGTAGATTTTGTACTATTAATAAAAGTCAGCTTTGGTAGGAGGGTCTGATTTCTGCAAATTCTTAAATATTAACAGAGCCACTATATTTGCATTTAAAAAAATACCAAACCAAACCAAAACAAAACACCCCACACATTTTGCAAATATATTTATTGGAAGTGCTGCTTAAGTAACTTTGAACTGTGCTTCAGATGAAAACATTTCAGAAAAAGCAAAGCAGTAAAGCATAAAGCACGCTTGTAAAGCAACACTACAATCTCAATTATATCGTGCACAGCAGATAAGCACATTTTTCTTTGATAAATGACTTAGATTGCTTGAATATTGACCAGGAAACTGAGTCTTCATAGAAAAAATTACTTTTTCTATGCATTGCAAAGAAAAAATTTCCTAGAACATGGGCAGGGCAAGAATGGAAATCCCCGATGATTGTTATTTGTTATGAAATATAATGCTTTGTCGTTCATTGGAGGAGGGATTTTCTTCCACAAAGACTGTACTATTTCAGCAGTTATTTTAATAAAAACATGCCCAAATGCATTTGTTTAGCTGTTTTCTCTCCTCTTTTATGGAGCAGGAAGTTTCATAATATATGGTTTTTGAAAAGCCTATGTGGAAATTGAACCAAAAAGACCTCCTTTGAAGTAATGGCATTCCTATATTTTATCATACTGAAATGCTGAAATAACACAAAGTTTACTTCCATATGTTGATTCAACACATTTTTTTTCTTAAACATTTTGTCTACATCACAATAATCAGAATATCAGTAACCTCAGAAAATACCAGCACTGTACCCCAAAATACAAAATGTCTGTGTGATCCTATTATCACTAGGAAACTGCTCCAGTGGAAAATACTATCAACTGTCAGAGTTCATTAAAAAATTCTCCCCATTGGCTTCAACTCTTTATTAGTTGCCAGGAGAGGAAATTTTTCTATATTATGTAATTTTTTCATCATGGAGTAGAGACATCACAGTTCTTGCTTCAGTTGTGTGCATAGAAAATTGAAAATGGAAAAACATCCAGTATCTTCTGAGGTTCTGGAATCTAATGGGGAAGGCTGACCTTTTGCATGTGGGCTGGATATATCACACAGAAGTTTCATATTGGTGCTAACCCCAGAACTGATTTTTTTCAATTCAACTGCTGGTTGGCCTTGAGCTACACCAAAGCTGCCAAATTCATTTCTCAAACAGGCCCAGTGGATTGGCCCTGACTTCATGCCACTGCAAAGATGTGAGGTGTGTGCACAGCTGATTTGACCATGTCTCCTCCCTAGAAACTTGCCTGGCATTAGGCAGCTTATGACTATAAAATATTTATTATATTGTCAGAGGACAAAGCAGAGCTAATGGATGTTTTCTATAGCAAAACCCATCACTGTTGGCTGTTTGATAAGCAGTGAGAGTTTCCTCAGCACTTCAAGGAATGGAGCTTCTCAGCCATGTCTTCTTCTTAGCCATGTCTTCTTCTTTTGCAAAATTCCCATTCATCTACAAAGGTTGCCAAGCCATGACAAGATATTTGCTATGTGTTCTACAAATTGGAAAGAGAGGCAGGAAAGCCACCATCATTGGCCAGAGAGTGCAGGGACAACCAGGTCTGGGAACAGGCACCAGAGATGCTCTGGACGGCCTCTGTCAGTGCAGCCAGAATAGAAGGAGAAGGGACACTGTTAGGACCCAAAACATTCTGAGCCAAGGTAAAAAGCCACTTCAACCTCTGGAGAAAACCATAAACCCTGGCTTAGGGCTGGGAAGAAAAGTGTTTTCATGTGGTTGTCATGGTGTGATAGTGCTTTTGATACTGGGCAAGTCAGAGATCACAGAGAAAGAAAAAAAGCCCACAACAACCCAGAAACCTGAAACAAACAAACCAAATTCCACCTCAATATTAAATTAAGGATCAGATTGTTCTTATTTTATCTCTGTTGATTCATCCAGCCAGATTCTTCCAAGAAGATTCCTGCACAAAGAGCATGGAACATCTAAAGAACTAAGGGCATTGGGTCTGGAAATGCTTAGTTAAAATTTTGGCTTTTTCACTACCTTGTGTGATTTCCAGCTGGTTAATTCATGTTTCAGTGCCTCGGATGGTTCATCAGCAAGTCAGAGCAACAGCAGCGTCCCCATAGCAGTAGAGGACTAAAACCATGTCCCTAAATATGTAGATTATTAACAATGAAAAAGAGTAAACACAAAGGAGAAAAATATGCTTATTTTAATGATGTAGTAGCTATGTAAAGTATTGTGATTTTGACTAACTAGGAAATATAGCTCCTAGTGACTTTGTGAGGTAAGGTTTTAAATTAGTTGCAAATTAATTTAATTTAAATTAGTTGGTTATAGTCATCTGGGTATGTATTTGTATATCTGAAGATTATGGTAAATAACAAATATTATTTGATGCCTGTATTAAATGGTCTTTAAGAAGTGGGTTGACTGTAATGTGCAACAAAGAGAGTAGTGTTTGTCGTGTCCATGGAGATGTAATTCCAAATCTGTGGCCAGCTATTCCAAGGGGCTTTACAAAGCCATAAACAAAACTGCTGTTGAAGAGTTATTATTCTTGGTCATTGCTGTGTGAAAGTTCATTGAAGGGTTGTGAGCACTATCCCTTACTCCTCAAGAAAGACCCCTGCTGTACTCATAGACATAAATCTTGTCTAATCTTAACAACATTTTGGGATGGATTGTGCCTTTGAGCCAGACATTTGCATACAAAGTTTCTGGTTTTGTTTTTGCATTGACCTCTAATGATGCTACATATGGCTTTGTTTCTGTGTACAATGTTTCTCACAATGTAAAAAATTACCTTAAAAAAGAAAAATTGTTTTGTTTTGTCATGGAAATAGGTATGAATATTAAAACAATAAACATTCAAAATTGAACTTTGAATTATTCTTTATTTCAGAATACATTTTTCCAGCATGTGTGTATTCAGAGATATAAGACTTTCCCTTGGGACTGAAAACCAGGAGGATTTTCACAAGTCATCTGACCACATGGCATGGCGTATGCTGTTCAAATGCTTGCCCACAGTATGCTCTCTGAAAAGGTTTCCCTCTCTCTCTGACACAGACTTCAGTTGTTTTAGAAGAGCTAAGATCTGTAATTCCTGGGATGATTTCTGTTGCAAAGAAGTGATGGGCTGACTGACCCCTGAGCACAGGGTCATGATTTAACAGACTTGCAGGTGTGTCCCACTTTGAGGAAATGTCAGGAAAGCACATTGTCAGGGCTTGTGTGTGTGTGTGTGTGTGTGTGTGTGTGTGTGCATTTGTTTGTCCTGAATTGCTGTTGTGATGAGTCTGGCTCTGTTAAGCAAATCTTATCCTGATACTGAGCTTCTATTTCAAAGCCTTTTCTTGGGGTTTGCATGGGGAAGTTTTGACAGGTAGCCATTGTGCTACTTGCCAGAACCTCTTCAGAAGGAATGCCTCTGGTTTTCCTTTCCTGTGGCATGACCTGCAACAGAACTCTTAGTGTTCAAATATGGCTTAAGGGCCAGCCATTCTGGGGGGAAGTACCTGGTTTTAAGACCAAGTACCTGTAGCACAAGCGTAAAATGCCAGTTTTATAGCTTTCTTAAACATAAATGTTTTAATTTGGACTTGGAAGAACTACCTATATTTCTCAGTGTTGTCATGAAATTGAAGGTACATCAGTGTCTACCAATATATAGATGCTACCCAGTAGCCTAGATGGAGTAAATTGGTATAACCTCTTTACAAACAGTTGCATTTTTCTTTTTCCAGACAGAGATGAAGACAAAAGAAATTGACAAAAGAAATTAACAAAAGGTTCTTATGTTACATTGTAGATTATTCCACTCCTTATACTTTTAAGAAGAGGTGATTCCTGAGGAGAAAAAAAATGTATTCTTATGGTATATCTAGCAGGACTGATTTTGACATCATGAGTGGTGTTATTTAAAAACATACTTCCCACTCACCTCTGCAAGTATTTATTTATTTACTATAATTCCTCACACACAAAAGTATTAAGTCTGTTCCAGTATCCACTCCACATGCTGAGTCCATTCTAAGCCAGTCTTTGCTTTTGTTTTACACACAAGTTTGCAAGAGAGAAAAAGGTAGGAACACTTCGCAATTTTGCTGGCCAAGAAAAGTCTCCTATAATTTCCATAATTAGTCTCCAAACTTTGTTAACCTAAGAAAACTGCTTTATTTTCCAAACTGTGTGAAGCAGATGCCCTGAGTGTCATGGCTTAGTAATGCTATTCCTCAGTTTGGTGTCTTCTCCTGCCACGCTG